ATTCCTGTAGAACCGAGGCCGGATGCAAACTGACTTCCAGCCAGCAGTCCAGCCCTAAGGGCTCAATAGCAATCAGATTCTTGCGTTACGACCGACGGTGAGTCGGCCAGTCTGTCTTGGAACAAGGCACCATCTGGGGCTTACTGCCAGATCTGTATTACTGTCACATAGTTGCGGGTCTGTTGATGTGGGGCGCTCTCTCTGATGAGGGAACGGGTCTGTCGTTCATATTTGCTGCTGGCCCTCGCCAGCGCAGTCATTCTCGTATCCGAGTCCCGTGGTACTCGTGACCATATTTTACTGCCTCACATTCGAAACTTCCCTTTTCGTCGCCTCCTACGACCTGCAGGGTTACGGTGGAGGTATTCGATCCTGCCTCCACACGTCACCGCTACAACGCCCAACCGGTTACTGCTGTTAAGGGAAAGAGTCACTCATTGCTGTGAGAACCGTACGGAACACACAGATACACTGTGTGGGCATAATGCAGCGTTTTAGTGTGTCAAAACATGTGGTACATATAGTGACCACTGGGCTTTGAAGGGTTAAATACAAGGCCTTAAGAACACCGTTACAGTGTCTGCTAATTCGCAGTAAACACGCATGGCAAGGTCTGCATGTTTACATCACTAAAACATGACAATATTTCCTTTGCAGGTGAGACATGCCAATGAAGTGGTCGTGAGCTGCTTAAGACAAAGTTGAGCTGATGTCATGCTAAGTAAGTCTGATTTGAATCTTGTAGCTGGCTACTGCAGATGAATTTCATAACAACCAATGCTAATTAACCAGTTAATCGCACCGAAAACACCTACAGCCCTTTGACAGACCTTGGCCGCTTCTTCAGCTTCATCTTTCACAGTCGGTAGGACTCTCGGACGTGGGATCAGCCCGTCGCAAGCCCTACCTGGACACAGGGCAGCACAAACACAGAATGAACGCACATAGACATGCTTACCTCACGTGGGGTTCGAACACACGATCCCAATGTTTGAGCGGGTGAAGACAGTTCATGGCACTGCGATCGGTAGCGAGAACACTACAGATATTTAGACAGACCGGAAGTGCTCACGAATTGCCAGTAACAGCACCCAATGAAGAGATAATAGTGGTTCTGGGTCCATTTGTTGTCGGCCCAAACAAGTCGTCATCGTAATTATCGTCAACAGATGGCCCTATAGAGACGTTATGTGACCCTTGTGAGGTGCATTTGGTGCAGGGGATTAACGTAACTGTGCTCTGCTACCTATAGGAATGGATCCTGATGCGGAGAAACCTCTTGCCATGCCAGCAGACAGTGGTCAATAAAAATATCCTTGAAGGACGGACCATACCCAGGCGCGGCGTGGGCTGAAGTCTTCCCTTCTTTGGTAAAAATGTCACGGATATGACTATGATACGAATATGAATATTCTTAACCTCGGCAAATAGTTGGAGCTGAGTGGTCAGCTTCACGCCCCGGCGGCTTTACCTCCCGTAAAAGGTAAAGTTGTTCCCGTGCTTAACTAATTAAGAACTACGCCATGGAGGAGATGGGGAGGGGGTGTATAGATCCACGTTTTCTTGACCTCTGCACTAGTTTGATGTGAGTGGTCAGCTCCACACCCCGACCACTTTAACCCCCGAGGAAAGAGCCCCCGATACCCATTGGATACGAGACTGGGTGAGCCCCAGAACCGGTCTGGATGACACTGAGAAGAGAAATTCTTGCCCTACCGGGACTCCAACTCCGATCCCTAGGTCGTCGAGACCGTAGCCAGTCGCTATACCGACTGCGCTATCCCGGCTCCGTGCGTTACTCCCAGCACCTATTGGATATGAGGCTGGGTGGGGCCCAGAACCGGTCTCGACCACGTGGAGATGAGAAAAATCTTGACCCTACTGGGACTCGAACCATGACCCTTCGTCTGTCGCCATTACCAACTGCACTATTATTTTAATTTACAGAATTGTGTTATCGCGGAGTTTGAGAACCCCTGCGTTAGCAGAGCCCGAAATCCGCTGTAATACCGTCAACTGTTTTAAGTGACGTCATGTGTGAATGCGATGACCCTTTGATAGTACATATATCTATCGCCAGATGGGAGGTGGGATTTGTGCGCGTGCGTGTGTGAGAGAAGAGATGAGAAAGTGCAGAGGTTATCAAATGTTGCAGCCATCTAATTATAACGGGTCATTTGGGCTACAGTTGGAGCAATAAAATTTCATACTGCATAACACAGCACGGAAAATAACACAAAATTCGTGTTATCGTTTAGAGAGAAATTAAAATATACGAGGACGAGTACTGAAAACAAAAAAATATAAATAATGAAACACATTACACGGCTCCGACCTTCCTGCATGCCACCATAACTGTGACGTCACCCAGAAACAAAAGAAGAACGGTATCCGCTCCGCTTGTTTCTCGTATTTAGCGACACTGTCAGTTTCCTTAACTACAGTGAAGAGTGGAAGGCCGATTCGTGAAATAATGAACTGGAGATGACGCGAAGGGACTCGGCCTTGGATTCACTAAAGTGCTCTTCCGGCATTTGCCTGGAGGCACTGAATAATACCACGAACTTCAGCACACTGTGTGTCTGGGTTGATGTTCCAACCGGGAACATCCAGAATACAAGTCAAAAGCATTTCGTTCTCAAGACTAAAATGTTAACGTAGTCAAAATAAGTTGTATATGTTAAAAAGTAATTAGTTGAAATCAATTAAATATATTAAAAGGTCTTCTTGCGTAAGTGGAAGAAAACAACGACGGTCCTACTTTCAGCCGCTTACGCAAAATACCTTATTCATTGGATTTTTCAGTTGACCTAATCCTTCCAGCCGCACTACGGCCCTGGGGTCGACTCAGCCTCTAACAGAAATGAGTACCAGGAATCTTCCTGGGGAGTAAAGCGCGGACGGCACATAAGGCTGACAACCTCACAGCCATCTTTGAGCCGATTGTCTAGAAAATGTGGGAGCCTCGACGTCTCATAACCCTGTGGGCCTCCAGGGATAGCTCCTAACGTTGAATACCTTACAGACTGGTGTAGTTTGCGGTAGGTCCAGTCTGCAGATGTGTTATACATAGGATTTGACGTCCTCACAGCAGTGGTTACGTAGAGAACTCCATCTTCTCGGGCATAACGCCATGTAGTGAATTGAAAGTCAACCGACGTTTCGGAGGAACATACCGCATTCATCTTCAGGGCCGAATTATAAACGGAGCAAAAAAACTTATTGTTTGACCCTGAAGACGGAGACGATATGTTCCTCCGAGACATCCGTTGACTCTCAACGGACTACACGGCCATACACCCCAGAAGATAGTACTCTTCATATTGTAACAGATGTCCGAATAATGTGTTTTCGAGAACAGTGTGGCCACCCCTGTCAAACTGTATTACTGATCACTGTTCCTGTACACGGCGTCCCGCGTATCTGTGAGTCACAGGGCACCTGAGGCGTAGAAGGTCAATTAATACAGGTTACATTTTTTTTTTTTACAAAAATTCCATTATCAGTGACGTTTCAGTACCGTATTTGTGTTTCACTTATCGGCCTATCTTCGAGCCATTTAACACTACAGCCTGAGATACAGACGTCATTAAGGTCATGTTTGCGGCCTCCGTAGTCTAGGGGTAACGTTCCCACCTCATGACTCAAGGTACGCGGGTTCAAACCCGGCGGAAGTCGTGGAATTTTTAAGGGCGGAAAAATTCAGGGAACAAGTCCTCCGGGAGGGATTTTAAGCCGTGGGTCCCGTGTCGTAGATTTACGGCACGTAAAAGAACCTCATGCCTCTAGGAGGCCTCTGAGCTAAATTAGGTCAAAAAGTTTTCCGCCCAAATAGTTTCCAATGCCTCCGATAGATGGGGAAGTATTAGGTACCACTGCCAGAGGAGGGACGGCCTCGCTGACAGAAAGGGACTAATTATTTGATACCACTGCCAAGTAGAGGGTAGAAACCTCGCTGGCAGAAAGGGGCTAAAGTATTAGGTACCACTGCCAGAGGAGGGACTAACTATTAGATAACACTGCCAAGTAGAGGGTAGAAACCTCGCTGGCAGAAAGGGGCTGATAGGGAGCACCAGTATCGGTAGGGGATGGAGACGGTAGAAATTAAAAGGGGGATGTACAATAGACTATCAGTCGCGGTGCATGGGGAAACCCACCCCCTCAATACTGAATCATTGAAGGTCATGTTTTGAGAACTGACTCTCGGGTTGCGAGAAGCAGCCGGGCAGTGCTTGCAGCTACATTGTGGGAGGGATGGTGACGCACTGTAACTAAGATCCTGTACTAACACATAACGCCCTACAATCCTTCATTAATTACGCACCATGCCATGGAGATATATGGGGGAGTGGAGGTAAAGCTTCGCTTCTATAAGTGGTCAGCTTCACGCCCATGCAGAGTTACCACCGGGGAAATCCCCCAGCACCCACTGCACAGGAGGTCGGGTGGGCCCCACAGCCAATCAGGAAGTCATTGAGAAGACAAAATCTACTGCATCAACCGGGAGTCGAACATCGATTCCACAGACGTCCAGAAAGTAGCCTGGTCCATATACCAACTGAGCTATCCCGGATCTTCTTACAGCAGACTCGATCAAATCCACAGCACATTCTATCCAGAACGGCCAGCGGGAAGGCCGCGGGTTTGATTTCCGATGAGGTCAGTGCATTTCTTCAATTCATCTAAGCCTTCCAATGACTTTATGGCCCTAGGGTACATTCAGCCTCTAACAGAAATGAGTACCAGGAATCTTCCTCGGGGCAAACGGCGGTCGGCTCGTAAGGTTGACATCACCGCCATCTGTGAGCCGATTGTCTAGAAAAATGTGAGAGCTTCGACGTCTCACAATCCTATGGTCCTCCACGGCCTGTTACATTATTTTTTTAAGGCCAGGTAAAAAAAAAACACTGACTGTACAAACAGATAACAAAAGCAACTTCTTAGTGACTTAACTTTATGTGTCTATGCATGTTTAATGTGGGGTTATGACTTGTCGTTACCTCTGGTTCTGTCGTCACAGGCTCCAGCCGACCCAAAGGCGACCATGATGGAAACAGCCATTTGCTAAAGGCAGTTGTTAGTTCACTGGTTGCACTGCCGGCGCTGACATCAGACGCTTACACATTACAGCTGTGGAAACACGCGAGCATCACTGAGACACGTCACGCAAAGTCATCGCCTACTTCGGGCCATTCCACAGTTCGCCACCCAACGCATGTCAATCCAGAAGCATATAATTAATTTAAAATGTCATGGTCTGCTGGATTATAACACCGATTAGTCTCATAAATGAGTACCAATTTTTATAAGGAACATACTGCTTTCATCTTCTACCCTGATGCTGGAGGCAGTATATTCCTCCGAAATGTTGGCATCCACTTACCAGGCTATCGTTATTATAATGCAGATGGCCACAATATGAATAGTGACCACCCTGCTCAGCCCCAACAATGAATCACTGTAAGGCTTAAAATCAGTAGCCGGCCCATACACGTACGAGTCTGGCTCGCGAGCCAGACTCGTACGTGTATGGGCCCCCTAAAGTAAATTGCCGAGAGGGGCGAAGTGACAGGAATATGAAGAGATCTGCATAATGTGGAGCTTCACAAGTTTAATAGCCTTCACGAAATACGTATCGTTGATGAGTTCAGATCACGTGACGGCTACAAAAGATACGCACGTTTCTACCGCAAGATGTGACAGGGGCCACTCTGAAGGCACAGGTGCATGATAATACGAGGGAGAGTCAGTAAACAGGTCACAAATGGAAGTAAAGCAGCTGCAATTGATGTAATAGGATTTTTATATGTGTCGCTAGGCAGCAGCACACTCCAGCTTCATGAGAGTCTAGGTAGCAGACGCGCATGCGCATGTTCAGGGACTGGTTTCTGTAGTAAACATGGCGACCGTGCTTGAGGAGTGTTCTACCGAAGAGCGAAGTTCTGTTGTGCATTTTCTCTGGGCAAACGACCTCAATGCAAAGGATATTCATAAAGAAATGTTTCCTGTTTAGGGTGGGAAGTGTTTGTTGCGTAAAGCGGTTCACAGCTGGGCCGAGAAACACAGTAAACGTTTTACTGATGACGTAGAGGTGGAAACGCAGATGCGGAAGTGGCTGAGACAGCAGTCAACAGACTTCTGTGCTGCCAGCTTCTAACCGCAGGGAGAAGTGTATCAGCGTTGGTGGAGGATGTGCCGAGAAATAAACATTTTTTCCAAGTTCCAATATCACATGTTTTACGTTTTATATTCATTTGTGACCTACTTACTTACTCTCCCTCGTATTAAAAACGTATCTTAAAGAAACAGGGTGTCAAAATATGGATTGGATTAAATGGCCCCACAGAAAGCTCAGCGGAAGTGAAGTTAACACGGAGGTGACTGAAGAAGGGTCCTGTGGGATGTGATGTTCTCCCTACTCGCCGCTGTCTTCTAACAGACTGACTTATGTATGATCCCTGAAGGCGGACACGAAACGTTCTTCCGAAACGTCACTGGACTTTATTGATAACAGAACAAAGACAGCAGAATTATAAGGTAATGGGGGGGAGGTAGAATACTGCGAAATGGGTGTGATCCTTGAGCTCCAGGAACGTAACCCTATACGTCCCATGTTTCAATGACCTCGACTCACGCCCATCTCCCCTTTCGGGAACGCGTTTACCTGTAAAACCGAGGTACGACTCTACTTTGATCGGTGTAAATATATTGTGGCATGTCTGCTCAAAGCCATGATTGTGAAGCTAGCAGAGTCAGCCGTTGCTAAGCTATGGCTCAGTAGCCGTCATGTGACGGCCGTGAAACGCATGGAATAATGGAAGAAACGTTTTCTGTGCGGTCCTTGCCGAGGCTATGTAACGAAGACCATCTGTCATTACGGAAGTCTTGAGAGTCAGAGAAGGAAGTCTGAGATGGCCGCCAGCCTTCACCTGGCGAAGTTATGAAGCTCCTCATTATGCAGTTTTCTCCAACCTCCTGTCACTTCATCTCTCTTCAGTCCAAATATTCTCCACAGCGCCCTGTTCTCAAACACCCTCAGTCTATGCTGTGCTAGAAATATGAATGTTAAGTGAGCCATAAATAAGCACATAAACAGTTCGGATAAGGAAACTCAGGCACACAAACACTTCGCAGTTTCCTTCATGAAAACAACATTCGAATTCCCTGCTTGATTTTCTCAGCACGACACTACTTATCAGCAACTTCCTGCCGATAATACAGGAAGCAATTATATAAACGTGATAAACACAACATTCCCTGGGATATATACCGCATTTACCTACCAAGTAACCAACTATACCTTCTACAGTTTTTTCCCTATTACACACGTACTTTGCACACAATCGCATCCGCTCCTGCGGTTCCGCCGGTTATACAGCTCACTATCTTTCTATAATTCCACTGTCCTGTCGTTGGACATAATCCTATACACAGTCGGTAAGACTCTTTGGATGGGAGATCAGCCCGTCGTAAGGCCTCTGCCTAAAACCAAAACACAAACACAGGAAAAACGCAGGCAAACATCCATGCCTTAACTGGGATTCGAACCACGATGGAAGAAAGTTCATGCCTTAGACCGCGAAGCTACTGTCATCGGCATGGAAATCACAAAACCTGTACAATATTTAAGTAAAATGAAAACAAAACAACCTCCATTTGGTGTAAACGAGATCTGAGAATATACCCACACGCAGCAACAACATGCAAAACAATCCTCACGGTTTCCCTTCCACTGTTACGGTAAACCAGCGCGACACTAGCGCCACTGTTACTGCCAAAACACGTCTGCCGGTTCTCTCATTAAAACAAAAGAATGTGAGTGACGAGTGGAAAGTGGGCGGCTACTACCATTTCCTTCCCCGACTGCAATGAACTCCCCACCGCCTCCTTCATACAGCGAAACTTTTACAGCCAGCCACAGACATTAACAACTAAGTAAACTTACCCTGGAATTTATACTGCTTGTTTGTTCTTCCTTCAACTTCTCGGCGTCCCTACCAAATGGCATGACAGCCTCTGTGGTCTACTAGTCAGCGTTCCTGACTACAGATTTAGAGGTCCGGGTTCGATTCTCTACGCTACCAGATTTTTTCGGAGTAGTGGGTCTGGAACGGGATCCATTAGCCTCGTGATGATAATTGAGGAGCTATTTCAAGGAAATGGGGGCTCCGGTCTAAAAAACCGAAATTGACGGCCGTGGGGATTCATTGCGCTGACCACGCAACACCCCCTATCCGCAAAAGTTGGCACTAGCAAGCTAAACAAGCGGCGGTCGCTCGGTCGGTATAGTTCGCTTGCGGACTAAAATCACGGAGTTTGTTTGTTTGAATAGCCATGGCATACATGTTCGGATTCACTTTACTAGAAATTCACAGTAGGGTAAGGACGTGGCACTGATTAAGACCGTTCAAAGTCTGAATTTGAGTCTCGGACAATTTAACTGCATAGTTTCAACGGAGTAAGTCATGTCCAATTTGAGGCCCGCGCAGCTTTGGTTATGAAACAATTTATCTTCTGGGATATAAGGCCATGTAGTCCTTTGAGAGCTCTGCTTGCTACCTGCTTCACGCTGCTTTCTGTTTGGCTTATTCTACTACCCTGAAGATGGAAACGACATGTTCCCCAGAAACGTCGGTTCACCTTCAACGGACTACACGGCGATATATACCACAAGACAGAACTCTTCTTACATAATGTTATAAAATACGAGAATATAATAATTAATGGTGAACAGATAAGATGAGGTAAAAGGTAAAGTTGCCGGTCACGGTAGCCCAGCGGTCTAAGGCATGTACTGTCTTCGCTCGCTTGGAAACCGGGATCGTGGGTTCGAATCCCACTCAGGACATGGAGGTTTAGTTTGTATGTGTGCGTTTGTCTGTGTCTGTGTACAGGTAGAGGCCTTGCGACGAGCTGATCACCCGCCCAAGGAGTCCTACCGAATGTGTAAGATGTAGAAAAACCGAAGTGAACGGAGAAATTCATGGAGGTAGGCCTAGGCCCACTGGGGCTGTAGTGCCAAGGAAAAAAAAAGGTGAAGTTGCCTCCGTCTTTAATTAACCACCACGTCGTGAACTTGGAGTGGAGGTATAACTCCACACATTCGTAACGCCGGTTTTAAATGAAAATGAGCGGTGAGCTTTACGCTCCAACCGGGAAATAATCCCCAGTGCCAGTCGAACAAGAGTCGGAATGGAACCCGGAGGCGGTAATAGAGAAAAATCCCTTAACCTCACAGGAAATCGAAACCCCAGTGTCACCGGAAATCCTCCCCGCATCCTAGTCACTATACCGACTCAGCTCGCGGTCATTGCATATTTCAAGGTGCGGTCTTGTATCCACAGGGAAAAAATGAGGAAAACCATGTAAAACTGATCAGGATAGCCTCTAAACCGGTCGAGATTCGAACCGCGCACCTTCCACATGTGACTTGGGCATATTATCGCTGTGCCATCCTGCTCGGCAGGACTTGGATTATGGTTTCCAACAACACACAAAACCAATCATACGGCGGCACAGAGAACATCTCTAATCGCTGACGTGACAATAAAATTGTCGGTTATTCTTCCACTTCCACCTACTTCTTTCACATGGCGCATGCGTGAGACGCTTCTATAGCTGTAACTGATTTACTGGACAGAAATTCTACGAAGTTCAAGCTGTGACGCAGAAATTGGTTAGAATCGCAGTAAATCAAGAAGGGAGTGGGCAGGGTCACATGAACAGGGCCCAAACACTACCCCAACATCTGTACTGGTGAGGTTAACCCGTAGGGCCTGTACCAAAGAAATGGGTTTAAGTGGGATTTCGGATATTTCAGTTCAACTTACTGTCATGGTGACAGTAAGAACTGATGACCGCGGTATCCAAGCCACACATAGACCCACTTACCTGAAAGTAAAATAAATTACTAATTTATCTACTAACTAAATTAAGAACTGCGTCATACAGGATAATTTGTAAATCCTCCTTAACAGTTGGAAGAAAGTCTCGTATTCACCGAAGCTATCACACTAACAGAACACTAAATTATAAATCGCATTATACATACTACAGGATCATGCGTGAACCCAGAATAGTTGACACATCCTGTATAATTGCTAAATAAAAATACGTATATTATTTGCCCAAGGCTAGCAGAACACTAAATTACAAATCGCATTGTACAAACAACAAGTATCCCACTGACTCAGCAGTAATCGGCACATTTCAGTAGATACAGCGACTAAGCTATAAGCTGGACTGAGGACTCGGGGTTCAATTCCTGTCAAAGGAAAAACATTTTTGTCTTCTCCGCAACGTCCAGACCGGCTCTGGAGTCCACCACCACCCAAGATCCAGTCTGGACTTTGCAGAGAATAGAAAAAAAAAACATCTTGTTCACGTCGTCGGGAATCGAACTGTGAATCCTCAGTCGTCCAACTCGTAGGCTAGTCACTATCTCGACCGAGTTAAATGGGGTCTCAAGAAGCACAACTCTACGATTAAATAAGTAAATAACACTTAATATAGGAAATTAGGAGAACACAGGTGAAGCCGAGGAAGCATTTCGCCATTTTTTTTTGTGACTGTACAGGTATATGTTTCTGTGGATGTAAAACTTTTTATGTCCTTCCTGTAATGGTACAGTCTGGCAATATGTACAAGTGCACAATTCGCTGACCGTCATGAGGGGTGTAAGGGTAAAGCTATCTCTGTAACGAGCCGTGGAGTCTCATAGGGTTGTGAGACGCCGAGGCTCCCACATCTTCTAAACAATCGGCTTACTCATGGCGGTGAGGTTGTCAGCCTTACGTGGAGGCCGCCCTTTACCTCCAGGAAGATTCCTGGTAAGGCTGAGTCGACTGTAAGGGCTAGGACGATTCACGTCATTCGGCAATAGAACCCGCGACCTTCCGGCTTGTAGCACAGTGCTTCAACTAACTACACTACCTCATGGTTCAGATGAGGCGGGAGGTTACGTATATTTATATTATTTCAGGGGTTCAGGTATCATGAAGTATGAGAGCCCTGGCCTAGCCTATGTGTCTGAACAGGCTGTACCCTCAATTCCACGTTGCTCCTAGTAGGAAGCGAGCAAGCAGTTAACGCACCGACAGTTGCACGATCATGTCACTCGTCTTTATAACTTCATTTGGAACAAAGGAGCACAAGAGACATGACGTAACTGGACAACGGAGCCACTTACATAATGAGAAGCTACAAAATTAGTAACAACGTACAGGCCGTCTTTTCTGACCAGGCCTCTGACATG